AGAGCTCTGGGAGGGAGGGCGTGTATCCTGTGGTCACAGCAGTGCAGGAGGCAGGACCTCTGGGTCTGACTCCCTCCTCTGTCACTCACTCACTCACTGTGTGACCTCAGGCAAGTTGCTTGGACCAAGATTTTGAAAAGTGACTCATGATTTTCAGTGTTCAACTCAAGACACATTAAAGGAGGCTAATTTTTCAGAAATTGCTGAACAGCTGGTCTTTATCCTGTCTCAAGTTTAAATTGAGGCACTCAAAATCACTGGTCACTTGAAAATTTTGGCCACGGGTTTGAATCGTCAGAAGTGTTTTGAGTAATTTTGGCTGCCTCAGTTGTGGGTGCCCATCTTGAGGCACATACCGCACAGCCTGATTTGCAGAGGAAATGTGCGCTCACAAGCCTTATTGACTTGGAGCTGCAGGTGCTCAGCACCTTTGAAAACCAGCCCAAGGGGTCTTAAAATGACCACCTCCGAAACCAAGGCATCCCGAAGGGCACTTCTGAAAATTTGGCCCATAACTTCTCTGTGTTCAGAATTAAAATGGGGGTGTTGGGAGGCTTAACTAATTAATGTTCGGGAGTTGCTTTGAGGGCCTGAGATGAAAGCAGCTATATAAATACCCACCCTTATTAATGAGGAGTGGTTTGGGAAATAAGGGAAAAATGGAGCGTTTAACTTTGTGACCAAGTTATTTAATGCTGCAGTGTCTACTGTTAACGCTCATCCATAGACGCTTTGGACAGACACTAATCAGGCTGTATTGTTCTTCCCCTGTTTGAAGGGTCTGCAAACAAAATCGATACGGAATATGGTATTCGGAATGGTTCTGTTTTCTTGAACATTACTGGCTTCAAAGAGGAAAAGCAACAGGAAGTAATATGGCTCAAAAATTCATCACGCCTCGCGAAAGGCAAAGGTTCTGACGTGAAATATTACAAGGCTGGGAAAAAGTATGAGCTGTTCCCCAATGGAACCCTGAAAATAAACCGCCTGGTGGAAGAGGACAGTGGAAATTACAAAGTGACCGTGTACAATGTCACGGGACAGCTGCAAGTGGAGGAGAACTTTATTCTGAGCGTTCAGGGTGAGTCACCTTCCATGTCCCTCCAACCATAGCTGGGTGAGCCCCCTTGTTACCATTCTCTTCTTCTGCTGAATGGGTCTCCATCCCATTTCCTTGTGGTCTCTAACTTTGTTGCGTGGGCTCCTTTTCATTGAGGGGTTAGCTCTTCTGCATCTATTCCCTTTCTCTGTTCCTGGGTGGGTTCCTCCTTTTCCTCTCTTGCCAGGTGAGTCTCCCTGTTCCCTTCTTTCCCTCTATTCATGCTGCTTAGTCCCTCTGCTGTCTGATTTCTTCTCTCTCACATCAGCCATGAAATCTGTCGAGCAAACAGACCTGCACCGGTATCGATGAACAATGAAAGATGTTACCTCAGGTCACACTGAGCCTTTTTTTTTTTTTTTTTTTTTTTGCCACTCAAAATATCCAGAACCCCTAATGTTTATATATACATTTGGGAGGCTGGGGTCTAACTTGGGGGGGGAAAAATGGTGGTAGGACCCTTCCAAGCTCCTCCCACAAATTAATAACCCACTTGAGACATCAAAATGAGATGCCATTCACGATGGATTGTGGAGATGTTTAAACGGTTTGCACACTCTGCTTGGCTCGGCTCCCCTAACTGGGGTTCAAATATACCCTTGGGCTCCGCTAGGCTCCTTAAGCTTGTGTTCTTCTCCATAAGACACACATTTTGGAGCCTAAAAAGACAGCTCAGGAGAGTGCTGGTACGCGTGCTGCTGCCCAGTTCAAGCCCTGATTTCACAACAGACAGTGAAAACTTTCTTAAGCAGCCATTCAAGGAACTAGTACCTTTAGGTGGTTTGACCAGTGTGATGTGGAGCAGAACCGTGCTCTGTACATTTGGAATGCTTAGGCAGTCTCCTAAAACAGGAGGCTGCTGAAAAAAGCCTGAGATCTCGCACAAATTTCTGTAACATGAAGATTTTCCTTCAACAGTACTTGGTTCTCATGATTTGCTTTTGAG